CAAAAGCCATTTGACCTATTCCAATGCAAATTCGATTTTGTACAACTAGAGAGGGTCTTATTTGCACATGAAAAGGCCTAAAGCCCTAACCCAAGTAATATGTCCAGGAGATTTCCGCATGGCTTGGTCATATTTTGCACCGGCGATTTGTTCTTTCTCTATGTAAATTTCGGGAAGAAACATCATATTCACGAGTCTACCATTCAAAAACCATTTGATCAATTCCGTTGCAAATTTGATTTTGTACAACTTGAGGGGGTCTTCTTTGCACATGATAAGGCTTAAAGCCCTAACCCAAGGAACACGTCCATGAGATCTCCGCATGGCTAGGTCACTTGTATAGATTTGAACATAATGTACTGAGGACAATAACCGCGTGATAAAATTTCACCTATCAAATGAAGTCCTAAAAACTCAAAGCGACTTTTCAAAGTATTAAAGAAAGCTGATATAGTGCATTTTAATAAACATGATTAATATTGCATCCCACTTAGGGAGATAGATCAAAATATTCACCAGATATAAGTGATGTCAATCGATGAGATTTATATGACAAGGATGAACATTATGGGGTTATTATATATCATTGAGTACAATACTGACTTCTATTGGACGGGCACACAGCTGTCATACCTATATTTAACTAGGCGCAAGCCGAGTCTGATAATATATTTTGCAGCTGTGTACAAGCACAATAGGAATGTATTGTACTCAGAAACATAAAATGGTTTCATACCACCATTGTTTTACTGAAATTTGATGCGTCAATTGCAATAAAGATTTGTCGATTCTTTTTTAATCTGAAAATAATAACGAGACTGGGCGAATAATGATATGCATTTTAAATATTGGACTCTGAAAATAAGAACGTGACTATATAGGGTACGATTTGCATTTGATATGGGACTTTTGTTATATTTTGCCCTCTGGAAATGAAAACGAGGCTTAACTGGTAAGATTGCATTCAAATAATGCCATTTACATTGTATTTGAAAATTATGTTATTCAACAGCTGAATGTTAAATGGATATATTTCGTAAGGTGTGAAATAGTGTGTTCGGTCACCAGCAGAGCCATGTGAAATCTATTTTGTTTTACCGAAAAAAATCAGTATTAAAAAAGATGTTTTAATACGAAAGTCCGGCATGCTCGTGATGGACGTTCGGTTAAGTCAGTGACCTGAAAAGTTATGTTACCTTGTGGCAATATGGATTATTAACATAATTATGACGGCACATAGGGCTGTATAACAAATAAATCATGTAAGGTATAGTACAAATTTATAACATACGATCTCCAGTTCTATTATCCTCCATACTGAATTTTCAATGTTGTTGTATCAAAATCTTAAAAGCACTGCTCGACTTGCTATTAAAGAATACATTTCAAGGAATGACAAAGAAGGAAACCTCTCTTTTTATAGTTCCAAAAATATTACATTTTTATTTATTTTTTTCTCTTTGTATGTGTGATATTTTCTTTACTGCTGTCACGATCTCAAGACATTGTATAGTTGATAAAGTGAATTTATATAATTTATATATAAAGGAAGTTGAATTCGTGGAGTTGAAATCGTAAAACCTTTCAAAGCGGGAATTTCTATAATTAAAGTCATGCTTTCATAAAGATGAAATTATGAATTCAGTAAGTTGAAATGAAACCTTTAACTCAAAAGTTACAATCATGTATTCCGGAAGTGAGAAGGATAGATTCTTAAAGTAAAAATGTATTTACCGGTCCTTCGTTTGTCTCTTTAGTAGGATGTCTGATTTAAGCATTTTTCTGTGAAATGCAATCGGTTTGATTGAGCCTCTTCATGGACGTTACTGTTAAGTGAAAATTACCGTCCACGCCCGTAGCACCGGTTTAAGCAGAATTCAATATTAAAATTTTAAATGGTAAAGTATTGAATTTAGAAACATACGCAGATGTGTTCATTTGTCGGTTATCATGGAACCTTCAATGTGACACAGTAGTGCATTCCATGAAAAGCGGCGTATGGTCCCCATACAACAGAAACCGTGTGCCTTAAACGTGAAAACAATGGACGGACCAAAAAAAAGAAACGAATTTTAAAAGGGGAGAAGAGATAATGAAGTCTGCATATCACGGATAAGATGTCAAAAGACGAGATTAAAAAGCAGGCAGCATATCCTAAAGATTATTCAAGTAGGAATATTGGAACCAAGCGTATCGAAATAGCCAAATAGTTGAAACTAAAAAATACCACAAAGCAATGATGTCGTATTGAACGATCTTTAAAGATCGGTAATATATCTGATAGCATGTACACGGCGACTTTTTACAGCCTCCACACGGCACAAACGACGCTAATGCAAACTACAACTTATGTGGAAATAATTGTTCAATTCTATATCATTATTTTACCTAATTACAGGCAATTCCGTAACCAACACGTTTCTTTGGATTTTAGAATTTATAGTATTGATTAATATGCTAAATTATAATGTAGAATGTATCCTATTATATTTAAACTATTTTTTTCAAGAGATTTTAGGATGGAAGTCCAGGTCTTTTGACAAAATGTTGCTTGAACTAAAAGTTTAAAATAGCCAATTTATAGAATCTGAAAATAAATTATATGATGTTCTAATAAACATAAACATTCAAGTATGACACCGGATGACCGGAATAACCAGCCCAATGGTAAATGTGTACAGCGAAAATGAAATTATGATGAGTATCCACTGAACAGCTTCACGAGAGCCAGATAGTTCCGTAAGTGACAACAATCAGTGTAACATTTTACATTCAATCTATCTACTTATTTCTTACATTTAGATCTGAATACCACCATATATGTTTCGCTTTCATTGTTATTTGGATTTCCCGATAAAGCATTTTTTAGCCATGCCATCAAACCGGTTTTTACAGAAAGTCATTAGAATTAGAAGTATCAAATTTTCGTTTTCCGTAAAAGTAAAACGAATTTTTGATTTTTGTTAGAAAAAAAATATTTAAGTTAATTTGAAACAAGTAAACTGAAAATAAAAGACCCAATTTTAAATGGGCAACATTGTTTTGCCAGTTTACCTGCTGGGTAAATGGAAAACGCTGTTTTTTGTTCAGATTCTCGAGATCGTGAAAATTACGTTGTACTTAGTATTAGTTTTCCAGCAGTCAAACTTAAAAAAACGCATCGCTTTCAAAATAGTTAAAGATCACCGATGATGGGCTGTTTGAAAAATCACGAGAAGGTGATTATATGTTAGTGATCGTCAGATCCCAATGTGTAGTGGTATGTAGGAGCTGATTTAATCAGATTGTTTTTTTTACATTTTTCTAGCTTAATACACATGTTTCAAAAGATATTCTATTTTTTATTTATTTACCACTGTCAGAAACATAAAAAAATACAAATTGGCTCGTAATGACGATATCAAAATAACGCAACACTTTCATATGTAAAGTGGCATATATAAAATCAAAAAAGTAGTTTTCCGTGAGTGATTTATGACTAATATCAGGCGTCATCAAACATGAAGCACCAATAAAAGCCCACTGAGTACATAGATATATTTAAGACGTTACAAGCGTTGTATTGCAATTACCGATCACTTATAACTCCAAATTATTTAGGATTTCATTTTCTTCTTTAAAAGATAAAACTCTCAAATATCTTTACGCTAATTCATGTGTATACAATTGTAACACATTTGTCATTCTAATTAATTGATTAATTTTATTCCACTTTTTTATCTAACAAAATGAAAATAGTATAAAATGAAGGCAATTTCTTCTAATCAGCTTTAACTATTATATGAGATGATTTTAAAGAGCTTAGGGAGAAAACTTGGTTGTGCAAAGAATTTCTGGTGGCTGTAAAATACAATACTGTCTCAACTTGATATACTGTAAGGTATTCTTACCCTAATGCACCTTAATGTATTATTCATGAGTTTTTTTTTTAAAAATTTGGATTTAAAATCAATTAAAATTCCTGTAGTGTTTGCCGTTTACAAATTATCTATAAAAAGTTCAACTTCGTTTTTGTTTTATTTTTATTCTAAAATTATGAATAATGAAAGGTTCATTATTTTAACAGGAAGTGACACAAATCATTATTTAGTAGAAAACTAAAAATGTTCATGAAAGAAAAAACACATATTGTATTTGATTTGAAATTTTGGTAATGATTGCCCTCAAATTCTATATGTTATACAATGGAAAAGACATTGTTCAATCTGGAAAAAAAACATAACATGTTATGTAATTAAAATGTATTAAAATTCTAAAAACTCTTTAGGATTGGTATTAATCATTTCTTGACTTGTCAAGAGTTAAAGTTTATGACCAGGAAGAGTAATACAAAACCTTGACAAACATAGAATTAAAAATCCGCAATTTCCGCATGATAAAATTTCGACTATATTAGCGTCTACGATATTTGATACCGTCGTTTGTCATTGAAGTATTGATTTAATGTAAAGTAAAAGTATTAAATTCATAAATGAGACGGTCATGATATCAAGAAATAAAGAATTGCATTCTTTAACTATTCAGTTCAAATAAAGTATAATTCATTCAAAGCTCTCAGTGGAGATATATTGTATTGTATCGTATTGATTATAACTTGTTTTTATTATTAAACAAGTTCGTACAAAATAGACATGAGAAGTTCATTTTTTTCAAGTTGTGTTATTATTTGGATCTTGCTTAAAAGGGGTTTTTCCAAAGCAGGCCGTGTTTTACCTGTGTATGGGGACGGGAGGCGGGTCAATTCCCATAAAGCATGTGGGTGGAAAGATATAGAAAGGGTATCTGTTGAAACGGATTCAGGTCCCGCTTGTTTAAATAATTGGGGAAAAAAGCGTCTGGTTTAACCGATCTGAAGCATGCAATACCCATCCCAAAACGATGGAACATAGTCCAACACCCTCAAATTCCCGGAATTGAAATGCAGAATTTTATAAAAGGGGGATGTTGTGAAGAAAGTAGGTTTATATTGTTTGTTTATTTGCCTTCTTTCTTTATGTATTCAATCGATTTTACCATTAAAGTTTAATTGAATGTATTCTTCTAACCTAAAGTTAAAAGGTTTTAGAAATTAATAAAAAAGGTTTTAGAAGTTAATATTTTACATTGTTTCTTGCAAATTTAGTCATAGATATTATAAAGCAAGAAACAATAAGTTTACCACATTGATATTTCTTTTCATAGATGGTAATTAGTATGTAAACCTTATTCACTTTTTAGTAAAATCTAAGGTTACATTCGTTGTAATTCCAATGATCAGTTTTTCCATATTACATTAAATGAGGATATTATACAAAGTTGTCAATTTGGTGAGTATAATTATAATGAATTTTGTTAAAAAATATGTAGCTATATTGGACCTTTTACAGTGTAAGAATACACAAAAATCAATAGTGTGCTCAATAATTTATAATTAATATCATTTTTTTTTATTTTATTCTTTATTTCACACTACTATGTTTTGATGTTTTAACAGATATTTGTTACTTCGAGTACAATATAGATTAGCTATGGATTTTTTGGACTGAAAATGAAAAACGAGACTGGAAGGACTACAATAGTGATTTGATATGGATGTGATAGACCCGGAAAATGAAAACAAGGTTAAATGGAGAACAATAGTGTTTTTGTGTTGCTTTAGTGGAGTCGTAAAGTAAAAAACGCCAACTAATATAACGTCAAATAAATAATAAATAATATAATTATATTGGGAAATCATATGGTACATACGCTGAAAGTTCATTGCTAACATTTTATAGGGTTTGAAATAAAGAAGGAAATGGGACCAAGTTTTGCAACAAGCCCTCAATTCGAGTTGTATGGAATAAACAAACATTGCTCACACAAATTTTAAACATGTTTACTTTATTTCAGCAAAACCAACTAAAGAAGAACCAAATGGTGTAAACAGTTGCCATGACGTGTGCAATTGGTCATCATGGGGACCATGGAGTGATTGTACCATTTCCTGTGGTGGTGGTGGATTGCAACAAAGACAAAGACGCTTGTGTTGTTTAAAGGAATGCGGGGGATTTGAACGTTGTGCAACACAATGTCACATAGAGGACGCAAATTATGTTCAGGAGCGTGTATGTGGAGAAGTGTGTTTAAATAGTGGAACATTAAATCGTGATAGTGTTGGGTGCCAATGCCTTAATAGAACCTTTGGTCATTGCTGCGAGGAATGTAAGTCTGAAAAATATAAATACAAATTCCAAATTACAGTTTCTAATTTGTTTAAGAATTTTGCAAATAATGATTGTGTTTCCTGAAATAAAAAATGATTTTTTTTTGTGTTGATGTATTTGACTAACGCAACAATATGCGGTAAATATCTGTATTATAACAACACAAAGAAGACAAAACAGGAGTGTTTTACTGGGGAACTTTTAAATCCTAGCAAACGTTTTCATCTGATAATTTATTTCAGTGTGTTCGGGATTAATAGAGTTGGTTTGCTTTGCAAATTTATGTAATTATAATTCTTTCACAATTCATATGAACGTCTGTTTTCAGTATTACCGGGCTGTACACCTTGTCCTACGGACGTCATATTTGTACTTGATTCTTCTGTCAGTCAAACAGAAAAACAATTCCATTGCTCAGCTAGAATTTGTAACAAAGTTCGTCGAGAAAGTAAATATAAGTACGGACGAATTCCAGATTGCTGTTATAACATACTCTACTGAAGAAAAATTAGAAATCACTTTCAACCAGTCGGTTAGCAAATCTGTCTTGCAAAGCTTAATCCAGAATATTAGGTTCCGGCCTGGAGCCACATTTACCAATAGAGGGTTAAAGTCTGCTATGGAGGTAGCAAGAAAAAGCGAAAGGCGTAAAGGAATGGTAACATTAACGTATGCATTTGTTCTAACAGATGGTATGTCTAACAATCGAAAGGAAACAAGAATAGCTGCGAGGGAATTGAGAAATGCTGAGGTTCACGTTGTGGTTATAGGTATACACATTTACTTTTGTACTTTTTCACCGACTTTAACGAGCCGCTAAATACCTGCTCATGGCGGTAAATATGCTTGTTACGGCATATATATTTATTACGGGGTTTATAATCCTTAAAGTTAAAGATATGACAATGACAACTTGTACAAAGTAATCAATCGCTGAATTCGACTTTAAAATTGCTATAATAATTGTTGGTAACATTTTGTGCTGATGTCTTATCGCTTGACCATAGCTAACAGTGATGTCTAACTGCCGTTACTAAGTTCACCTGCCGGAAACCTAACACCATTCATGTCAGCATACGCATTTGCATAGAGATCCAATAGGCTTACTTTATAAAAGGTACTACTTCGTATCATCAGCGCTTTGTTACTGTTTTGATCATGGAAATTTATCGCTGCGGGAAGTTTGCTAATGAAGTGGACATTTAATAGGCTGACAAAGCATTGTATATGTATTGGAGTGACATTATTTGTAACCTTCTACAGATTTTCAAAACATGTACTTTCAAGATAAATTGTAGATATTTATGTATTTTTACTTATTTATTACACAATATGAGTTTGTATCCGTTTTTTCGTAAACCAGAAGAAGTGAACAAGGATGTGCAAGATTCATTATTTTACTGGTCAAATTATACTAAGTTCATAATAATTCCTACATTTCTTTTCAAAAGGGTTTGACTACAGTTTAGTTAGTCGGGCTTTTAGATAAAGGAGTATAAAGTGTTTAACAGTTACTATGTTTTTTAGACTGATAACAGATATTTATGTTCGTTAATCTATGGAAAGAAATATAAAGTGACCGATAGCAACCCATTTATATATCTGTAAATGTGAGCAACTTTAACAAATGGAGAAATAAAAGCATAGTTTGGTAGTTTGATGAATTTCGCGAACAGTATTAGTAGAATTGATAACTATATCAGAGAATGTTTAGACTATGTTAAGATTAATTTTTACTTTTATTTGAGCAGTTTCAAACTTGAATTTATTTGTTGAATATATTTTGCTTTATTTCAGGAATAGGGAAACAGGTTTCTCATCAAGAACTTGTCGACATCGCTTCTCCGGGTGATGAATTTAGTCCATCGTACGTATTCTCTGTCGGAGATTTTAATGCATTAGACACGTTGCTGAAACAACTTGTACAGGTAACATGTGACGACTGTAAATCTGTCAGTCATTTGTCGGACATTGTCTTTCTCCTGGACGAAGGCAATGAAATGACCGAAGTAGAGTTTCAAATTTCTTTGGATGTTATGACATCCATTGTCCAGAGGACTGGGCATATTAATGAACAAAATGGTCAAAGGGTCGGCCTGGTCCGACTCGGAAACACGTTGAAGAGGGAAATAGAATTTTCTAGGAACCTTTCCCAAAGTAATCTCATATTAGCAATCCAGACATTGTTCAGACAACCTGCTGTACTTTGTGAAAAAGATGAACAATGTACTGTTAAAAATATCACATCAGCAGTCAACAAAACTATAGACCATTTCTTTAACTTAAATGGACGAAGCAATGCCCGCAAGTTTTTGATCATTTTGTCTAATGGAAAATTTGAAAACGCTGAGATCGTCAGAGAGGAAATGATAAAAATAAAAGAATTGTCAGATTTTAAAGTATTCGTGATTGGTCCAGGAAGTGACGTAAACATGAATGGATTATTATCATTGGCTAAAGAAGCAAATCACGTGTATATCGTGCTTGAAAATGATGATACTTCAAAACTAGATATTATACAATCCGAGTTTTCTTACAACGTTTGTAAGTAGGTGGGATTTGATTTGTGAGATGCTGAAACAATGTGTTTTCATTCTGCACTATTTCATCTACTAATGTTCGACAATTCATAAAATCTATTCACGTGTATCATAAAAGTCTATATCATAATATAAAGATAATTGTAAATATTTTACTTTTTTATATGATTATACAACTATTATCACCATGCAGATGTAGATGATTTGCTTCAAGTACTTCTGAAAATTTCTGAATGTTGATTTTCAAAACATCTAAAGCATCTAAAAATAGAAATAACTTTGAACCACTTCTCCTACTGAACTAATTGAGGATGATCACCAAACTTTGTCTGTAGCATTGTTATAAGTCTTTTGTCAAATTTGCTCATACTAATTAGATTGGCCCCTCTTTGGGGCCGCTAAAGTTAAAAATGGAATAAACTTTAATCATCTTCCTGTACTGAACTAATTGATGGATGATCACCAAACTTTGTCAGTAGCATCTTAGGTAGCCTTTTCTCATTTTGATCATAATATTATCTTGATCGGCTCCTTTAAGGGGCCGCTTAAGTTTAAAATAAAAAAAACTTAACACGTTTTTGTACTGAGCTCATTGATGGATGATCACCAAACTTTATCGGTAGCATTCATAGATGGTCTGTTATCAAATTTGTTCAAATTAATTTGATTGGCTTCGGTTAAGGGTCTCTAAAGCTAAAAATAGAAAAACCTTTTAACCACTTCTCTTGCTGAACTAATTGATGGATGATCACCAAAATTTGTCTGTAGCATTGTTAAGTAGGCTTTTATCCAATTTGCTCGTATTTGTTATTGGATCCTTTAAAGGGCTGCTAAAGCTAATATTAGAATAAACTTTAATCGGCCTTTTGTACTGAACTAATAGATCGATTATCACCAAAAATTTTCTGTAGCATTCCTAGGTAGCATTTTATCAAGTTGGCTCCTTTTTGTGGTCGCTAAAGCTAAAAATAGAAAAGCCTTAACACATTTTTGTACTAAACTAATTAATGGATGATCACCAAACTCTGTCTGTTGTATTCCTAGATGGTCTGTTGTCACATTTGTTCAAATTAATTTAATTGGTCCCTTTTAAGGCCTTCAAGGAATGTAAAAAAAGAAAATTTAACATCTTCTTTCACTGAATTAATTGATATTTAATAATATCCAAATTTTTGTCCCTAGCTTCATCTTCTTCTGCTGAATTAATTTGTGGAAAAGTTAGAAATTTGTTCAAATGATTATGCTGCATTATGTAAATATTATGTCATATTTTGTATTTTCAGGTTATGTCATTGTTAATTTATCCTAATCAATAACTAGTATATAGTTATATCTAATCCTGATAAAAAGAAATAATTTTGATAAGTCTTTAAGGTTTTCTTGACAACTAGGAAAGGGACATCTCTTGGTTAGTTATAACCAAGTTAGTTATAAGGACTATTTATTTTCTATATTTTAACAAGTATTAAAATATTCTGGTGAGGATTTTCTTTGTGTTTTTATTATTTACAGTATGAATAATATGTATTTTGAGTTTTGAACACATTCTCGGGGAACTTCTTTTTTGGACGTCTTTCAATAAGTTTCAGGGATATTCTATCCATAGAATAAGGCACGAATAAATGCGTTAAATATATTTAGATATTGTACTTACTTAAATCATTATTTATTTGAGATTTAATATTAGAAATAAGATAAGTTTACTATTAAGTATATTTTGATAACATAGAAGTCATTTCAAGATTGAAAATTACAGAATTACATTTATAGATTTGACAGATTAAACCTGAGAAACCTGTTTAGACCTCCTGAACCAATCCAAAGTTTGTTTCATTATTGTAAGGGAATCAATGCAAACAATAAGTCAATGTTTTATTGTTTATTGATTTCATTATGTTCATATCACTTTGTTTTGTATTTATTTGTTGTAAATCCTTGTTGTTATATTGAAAATACGCTTTTGTTTGCAAAATTATGATAATTTAGTAATTATGCTAAATCTTACATAACCTATTTAGAGGACATTCCATTATGGACAATTCTTATTGGTTGTTGAGATTTGCAACATCTTTTGAGTAATGAATAGGGATAAAGAATCTGTTCTCAACACACTTAGAACATATGGAACTTTAAAAGAAAGGAATTTCTAGGAATTTTCAGGAAAACAGGTAAAGTTTTTTGGCATTTTGTTAATAAATTCAATTTAATTATTTTCTTTCATATCTTTTGGCATTATTTATATTTAGCATAAATTTAGAAACTTAATTAATAGGTCAGATTTTTGGTAACTTGGACTTTGTCATTTTTATATTAATAAATAGTCTGATCGGTGGACCTGTTAGCCTCCCATTAGCCTGAACTGGTATTCTCCAGCTGAATAAGTTAGAATAACCACTTTCCCTGATTTTTTTCCATGCCTTAATATAATTTGTCATTTTTTTATTCTTTGTGCTGTTTTAGAATCAGTTTCAATCGTTTCTATTCAGAATCACATTTTGCAACATTTGTTATCATGCACTTGTTCAAAGTGAGTGTGCACTGTTTCATAATATCACTTTTCCACCCTGTATGTAAATTTGTTTTTTGTTTAAAGAGTTATCTTGTTTCTTGAGTACATTTCATCAAAACAATCTGTTATTTTTTCCTCTATATAGTTAAAGTTACTTTTCTTTCCTATTTCTATTGGAGAGTAAAATGATTCAACCTGAAACGTTAACTTTCTAATCAAGTTGTTTAGTATATATATGTTATCTGAAATAAATATCAACTTGTGGCTTCATCGTGACAAACAGTTTACATGTATATCAAAATACTAAGATTATGTAATTATCTAATGTTTAAGATGTGTAAAAAAGAAAGTCATAGCAAATTTTACCACAAATGTTTCAAAAAACTTCTTTAAGAATTCTTATGGCATTTTTATTATCGTTTTATATTTAATTTATTCCATTTTTGGAGTTGCTATATCAGTTTGTAATAGTGGCAATGAATTCAGCTGACTTACATCATCCACAAATTAATTTGAAATATTTCATCAATAAAAACGCTTGTTCTTAAATTTCGGCCATAATGGTCTCTTCTCTGATAAAAACCTTTTGAATTTTGCTCTTTCAAATTTATATTTAAAGTATACAGCACTTATAATGGGCTTGAAATTAAATTTTACATTTTTGTGAAATGTGGTAATTTTTCAAACTGAATTTAATTTGATCATACTTAAACCCTAAAATCCAGATTTTCTGGGAACATCATTTTTAATGATGTTCTAAAACGCATTGTTATTAATGTTCAGACTGAACTGTCCGAACGTAGAGATGTATTTTAAACGTTTTTGCTTATTTTGTATTTATTTTGATGATGTTTTGAAAATATCCAACAAACATTTGATTTTTTCAAAAATACTTCATTTAGAAAGGATCATCTTCACTTCATGTGCATGTGTATATATCGTTTATTTAATAATGATTCATATGGTAGTTATGCCGATATACAGTTGTAATATTAACGTTAATGAGATTCAATCTCTTTACGGGTCACATGCATTACAGTGTGCATTAGAATTATTTATACATCATTAAATGATGTTGCTAATGTTACTTAAATTCGCGCGGGATAATGTTTAATAAGTCTTCAATACCGATAAAAACGTTTTGAAATTTTAAGCTCTCTCGAAATTTTATATTTAATATACTCACTCTATTATGGGATACTTAGAAAATTAAATACTGTTAATACTCCTGTGTTATGTGAACAACTGAATGGTAAGTTTGATAAATTGGAAGTATAAGTTGATCATACTTTAAGAACGTAAACATCCAGATGGTTAGAGAGAAAATACATACAATGAGTAGAAAACATTTACGCCATAGTTATTAATTGTAGTACCGTACTTTTTTCCCAAATTATTAAACTCATCTTAAAGATATGATCGATTAACGCGCTATTTTTAAGAAGAATCAATCCTCATAGATGTATACGAATCTTCCTCCCTATGTTTCATAATCTTTTATTATTGATTGATTAAAATTAAAATGCTAAATGATTTGTAGAAAACATGTGAAATATTGCGCATATAAGCATAAACAAACTGGAATTTTGTTTTTCATACTTATTCACTTAATAGTTGCAAAAAATGAGAAACATTTTTCAGCTAGGTGGCCATTGAGCATCGTTTTTGCAACTGTAACAGGTCACAGCTAGAATTAGAAATTCTTTTGAGAGATAAAAATGATAACAATGTTTAGCTTATCTTATCTAATCGTACTGGAAAAGGTTATTTTCTGCAGATATCTTTAATACCTTGTAACAGCACATACAATAGAAGAGCGATAACTGAACCTACCCATTAATCCGTAATTGAGTGGTTAATTTGTCTACCTATTTGTAGAGCTGTTCAGTCTGCTAAATCGACAGGTAGATCTAACATAATTCTTGCAAGGCCAAAGAAAAGAAAAACATTCGGCCAATCAAATAGTGCGTACCATGAGATCTTTATACGTGTAAATGTTTTAACGGCATTCCTTTAAATAAAAAAATCAAATTTTAAAAGTTAGAAAATGAAAGAAAATGTATAAACATTATAAGATAATAAAATGGAGATATTCATGGTACATGGGATGTTGTGTATGTTTTATGAAAATTATGAAGATTATTGCTATGATCACTACCATTATTGTTTCTATTTTATATACCGTACACGTATTTCATTCCTGCATATGTTTCAATGTTTCAAGAAACAGATAAACCGTGTTGATGATGAACAAGTCAGACAACTGGTCTTGTCGAAGAGAGAGTGTAGGAAAAAAAGGAATTTTTACTGCCGATTGTAGAGATAAAGTTTTAATCCGCAGTAAAAATGTAGTTCCACAGTAAAGATATAGTTGTATTACACTACAGTACAGAGAATACTTAATGATTAATTTTATAAGATGAAGCGCTGTTTTTTTCTGCCTTGTGAATGTATATGGAAACTATTTTTATTTGTACCTTTATAGATATTTTATGCTATAAGTACACTTGTGCTAAGGATATGAAAATTGATACTAGTGAGAAACGGTATCAGTCAGAAATTATCATTTGTGATCCCCTTTCATTTTATTTAGTTCCACCCACTGTTTTTTCGTTTAGGGAACAGAAATATTTTACTTGTGGTCATATGCCGCGTTTCATCGAATGACACTAACGTGTCAAATTGAAGGTTTCATGATAACAGCCATATAAACACATCTGCGGATGTTTCAATAATAAAAATTTTAACAGTCCATGTAAAGTGACGTGGACGGTAACTTGAACTTTCCGGTACCGCACATGAACAGGCTCAATCAAACCAAGCCTGCAACATTTTCAATTTTGTCGTTTTGGGCGTTCTTTGGGAATTTCGTTAGGCAATGATACAATTCAATGGATACAAACAATCTGTTTTATTTTAGTGACATGCACAGTACCATATATGTTAATGCCGGACTATATTTCTCCGTAAGTTCCCATCTTAGCTTTGCATTACGTAGACGGTATTTGGAAACCGGAGACGTTGCTACTAAAGGCGCGGCCTCTCTAATTTGCAATAACGATGTATTCAATTATTCATGCTTCATTCATGAAAATTATTTCTTGAACAGTAATTTGTTTGTATAATAACTAAAAGATGTACATTTAATCGAATCTCTCTTTTTTTACCTGTGCATTCTGATAAGGCTTTATATTTTGGTATCTAAATTTTTGTAATTTGACATTGAAATCCTTTACACTGTTGATAGACTTTCCCTAATCAAGACAACTTATATATTATAATAACAGATTAAGTGATAAAGATATTTATTCAATTCTTCAATTCTGGAAATATCAGCTGTAACATTGTTTGAAAGCAAGTCAAGATGCATTCAACTAAGTATACGGCAGGAAATATTTTTGTGATAATGTTTACACGATAGTAATAGGATAGATAATGTGAATTGGAGGTTAAGATATTCGGTTGTTCGCGTGTGAATACCAGTCTGTTATTTATCACAGAATTGTCAGTATATTACTAATTCAGCAGTAAAAGTTATATTTAAAATCAGGCTAAATGGTTGCTAAATGGCTTCGCGGATACTTGTCATGATTTTCATTGTGTGTTGCCTATTAAAACCTTACTGGAATAAAGTTTTGTTAATATCTATGGATGGATTCCGTTGGGATTATATACAGCAAGTGGAAACACCAAACTTTGACGCATTTGCCGCAAAGGGGACACGGGCAGAGTATATTAATGGAAGTTTTGTTACGAAGACATTTCCCTCACATTTTACTATTGCAACAGGTAAGTGTAAGAAAATGCTTTGCTTAGATGTTTAATTGAAATATCTATAGAATTGTGACAAAATGTTGAAAACTATAATTCATTTTACCACAACGGCAAGGGGCTTTCAACGTCAACTGTTATAGATTTTGATTGTGACAATAAAGTAACGGAGAAAACACAAACATTATCAAAGCGATTCTGATATGACAGTATCATTAAACTGAAATAAATATGAGAACACGGGCCTATATCACGTGACATTTTGTAATCTGCGTAGGGCATGTAGGGCAGTTAATCTATAGTTAAGTCGTTCAAGGATTTTTTCTTTAACTTTTCAAACGAAAACCCATTAATTTGATGTGTTTAGTGTTGAGCCCGCTGGATCAAGTGTGAACCCTTTTAAATTTACAATTGTTTAAACACGCAGTTTATGAAATTATGGAAACAAATCTGAACTTGGATTGGTTCAATACTACAATGAGCGGATCCTGCATTTTCCCATGAACATAATGAATTTTTTTAAAACGAAATGAGAGAAAAGGGTACCTAGAACGACGTTTGTGTTCATTTAATGACCCACACAAAACACACGAAATGCCACGTGGTATAGGCACCGTGAACAAGTGTTCTGAAAGATATTCTGAAAATTTAAAGTGAGACATTTGCACACATCAGTTCAAATCACGACAGTAGGTGTTATTAATTATAATCTATCAAAAAGCTCAAACATCAATGAAATATAACCACTAATCTACTATATTAATGAGCACATATGTATAGTTCATAGTAAAAAGAATTCCCACGGTAATTTTTCATATAGATCGGTTATTTATAAATTATGGTGAGAAATATAGCCACGGATATTTTTCATTATTGTCTAACTCATTATTAGGACACTAACTTTATCATTATGTATTTTTACTGTCCCCATGTAAACAATCATGCTCTACATACTGTTTAAAAAATTACATCGTTTATATGTCATATTGTAAATTGATGGGAAGCATAAAAGTTGGTGTTGTTGTTTTAGTTGTTGGTACATTTATACATGACAAAACAATATAATTTGTGAAGATATATGAATATATATATAAATTGCTGTGAATTTTAATTGTTTTGAATTGAAATATATGATATAAAATCTTCTAAGGCATAACCCTTAATTAATGACGAACTGCTTCAATTTTAATACTTAATCCATTCTGGTGGCAAACCCATTATGTTGGTTATGTCGTGACGCGGCTCATTTGTTCAAGATCTCTTAGATAAAGAATGCACTGCCTCACGAAAAACACATGCCTGATTAACCTAATAAAAGCCAGTTTTTTAGACGAGAATGATTTAACGCTGGATGACCCAAATAACCTGTATCTTTTATATGCCCATTATACCTACACATGCTGAAATAAAACATATTTTCCTACTTTTTTTTTCATTTTTAATGTCCTTTGAAGATTTCCAAAAAGTTACTTATATATTGACCATGCAAATGAACCCTTTTCAGCTTCTTTTGCATTTTGGCAATAAGAACAGTTAGAGAGATTTAGTATTCTATTTACATTTCGCTACCTTTATCATATTCAGCGCAATTGTTTTCAAGTGATTAGCATCTTGAATGTTCTTCATTCATTTTCACAACAATAAAAACGTATTTTGCCATTCCTGCAGAAATAAAAAAAAACTATTCATCTCCGATATGAAGTGTGCCTTTAATATTGAAGGGATTTTTGCGATGATTGTCAAGGTACCAATCACAAATTCATTTAGTGTCTTATAATGCTGTGCTGTAAAGCGAGAAACTCTTCATGTTGCATTTTGTTAGGTTAGATAAAACATATTATAAATTTTCATACACACTTTTACATATTCTACCAAACATATGCTGAACGTGTGTAACATAGCACTATATGCATGGTCTGTTAGACCTAACAATTTAAAATATGCAAATTATTTAAAAAGATTATATTCTCAAACTATTTGAAAAATTCCATTTGAATTTTAAGGATCGGGTGGGGGTTGCGTTTATTGAACGCGACCTTTCCTTGTTGATCTTTTTTTATCATATTTTGTCAATAATTGCACAGTGAATATTTATTAATTTTGGAGGAATCGTACGGTATCAGTTTTGAAAGACACATATATGTAATTTTGGAGGCCTACATCAAATAGAACATTAATCTCGAAAATTTATTTTCAGTTCAGTCATACATGTCATAGTCAAATCACTTCAATGGAGTCCTTTAAGATAATATTTGTATGGTTTAAAATGTGTATTCATCGTAGGAACCTTGCAATTTTTCAGGTTTGTACCAGGAAAGTCATGGAGTCATAGCCAACAAGATGTATGATCCAGAATTTGATGAATTTTTCAACAAACGGACAAAAGACACGAAATGGTGGGATGGTGGAGAACCTCTTTGGGTAACCGCACGAAAACAAGGCCTTAAAAGTGCTGCGTTCTTTTGGGTAGGCAGCGAAACTAAGATTCGAGGCTTTAGACCGAACTTTTATTTTCCTTACAATGAGTCAATTCCCTTTAAGAATCGTGTTGATACAGTTTTGCAGTGGTTTGCAAACGACGTAGATCTTGCATTGTTGTATTTTAATGAACCTGATTCTACTGGGCATAAATTTGGTCCTAACTCACCTGAAGTAAGAGCTAAAGTCAAAGAAATGGATGACATCGTAGGTTATATTGTTGACAAGTTCGATGAAAATAAATTATGGAACACTGTTAATGTCATTATTACCAGTGACCATGGTATGGCGGAAATAGATTATGCACACAAGCATGTTGACCTGATGGACTATATTGATATGAGTGCAGTAGACAAAATACCGACTTATGGACCATCATGTAATATTCTACCAAAGGCAGGGATGGAGATGGAAATTATAAATAACTTGACTAATGTGCTGCATATTAAAGTATATAAAAAAGACGACATCCCTGAACGATGGCATTACAGAAACCATAGAAGAATATTGCCAGTGCTGGTCGTTGCCGAGGAAGGATGGCTGGTGCTTAAGGTTAAATTAATGTTCATATTGCCTACAAATTATTTTCGTTTTCAGACATTCATCTCTAGTGTGATTATTTTCGCATAATTAAAAAAGCGATTTATTTTAAATTTTCTTAATACTAGTATCCTTTATTTTTTATGATCTGAAAAGGAAAACAAACAAAAAACGTTAATTATAAAGTATTTTACCTATATAAAGAATTAACAGAATAAGGTTAACAGAATGCATCTGGTTAATTCAAATTTAACATCTTTCTTTGGTTGGGTTTTAGGTTGCATCATAAACTGTAAGCTTTAATGGTTGAAAAAGAACTCAAGTGCCGATACATCTATTTTTTTTCAGGCACAACCGGGCACTTGAATAGGTTCTTTGAGAAATAAAAGCTCCTGGCAGGATTCGAACCCACAGCAACGAAGGGCAAGTGGTTTAAAGTCAACGGCATTAACCACTCGGCCATGAACGCCCTATTATTGGTTTAGTCACTAGTAGTTTCTTTATGTTCTTTATAAAGATTTGCACACAGCGAACGATATCTATTGTTTATAATCGGAAATAATAATAAATACTAACACAGCTTACAATATTTTCTATTTTATAGGAGTATAAAGAATACAGTCGTGTGGACAGAGGAGCACATGGATATGACAACGCTCTTATGTCTATGAAGCCCATCTTTTATGCCCGGGGACCAAACATTAAACAAGGATACGAGGCAATGCCATTCAATACCGTTGACATATATCCACTGATATGCAAGCTTCTTTGTCTAAAGCCAGCCCCTAACAATGGCACACTTGACAATACGAAACCTTTTGTTGTGAATGAGAACTCAGTGGCCTGTCAAGCCAATACGTCGGGAACCGTCTCAATGTGTGTGTTTCAATACAGAAACACACTTGCATGCCTTGTAATGTTCATCAAAATAATTCTTCTATTGTAAAGCTTGTACAAGAAGTATTTTAGTACAAGAAGTTTTCACAGTATTATAGTAAGCATCATTAGTTACAAACTAAAGTTGTATCATGTAGAAATAACTAATAACCGAATAGATGTGCATATCTGCATTTGCTTTAAAGATATATAAATTGAATTTTAGCAGTTCCTCCTCAGTCAAAAAATTCGAAAAATCATAATAATTAGAAAAAGATGCTCCAGACTCTCCGATATTTTAGGGCAAAATTAGTAATAATTAACCAGCCTTTGGATAAAGCTAACAGTTTTGGTGTCTTAGTGCTTTTATCATTCCGATTTACTTCAGCATTTGAGTAAAAAGTATTGTTTCAACGAACTCTATTTTACATTATATATTGGTTTGACCTGTCGCTCTATCAGTAGTGTAAATGAATGTATATTATACAGTGAATTGTGGCATGCTTATGAATAAAGATACATGATATTTATATTTTATTTATATATCAAGGTCACCATTTACATTTGTAAAAAGAAACACACGTCCAGTGGCTCAGAATAAAAAGCTCGATGACATATGAGCAATAACCATCTTAAACTAGGGTGTTATTGGTGTGTTTTGAATATGACTGTGCCGGAATGATATTTGTATTCTATCTGTTAACAAAATGGTGTTTACTACTATAATCTCATCTTTTAGTGATAAAACCACGTGATCAAAAAAGGATTAATGAATACCCAAGGTATTAGCGTGAAATTATTCCCCATTGTGTGATAAAGGGAATTGCGGTATAATTATAGCTAATCTGTGTTTCTTTCGTCCGGCTGTACGTGACTGCATGACTAGTGTCTATATTGTCATAAGATTTGAACTTTACCTATATACTGGTTTAACTTTGCCTAGCATTTTAAAGAGCGTTTAGTTCATGGTAAGTCTATTATTTGCAATGAAATGACAGGGGCATATATATGAAATGGATGAAAAACATATTCTCTCAGAGGAAACGCTTTTGTTAGGTGATGACATTCCTGATGATCATATTAAACGGTAAGCTTGTAATTTAAATAAATCGGTTTTAATGTTAACGTGCGTTACATACTTTGATAAACAACAATATTATTAGTATATTTTAATAATGATAAACTAATTATAAATAGTTCGTACTCCAATACTCTGTGTGTGTTTTTTAAACTTGTTATTTAAGCTTATATTGATAAGTAAATCATGCATATGTTATCATCTAATTTATCTTAAACTTGCTTGAACCGCAAGTGATTAGGATAGAGCTAGGCCAGTCTTCGGATGCAGTCGTGCCAGGCTGTCTATGTAACATTACGTGTCCAGTGTGTACTGTTTAATTTACTAATATCATTATTTGTTTGGGATTTTTTCAATTTTCCAAAAACCTTTAGGTTTTTCTGTAAAGAAAATCTAGTTTATATAGTTTATAAAAAAAATGCGAAATTTCAATCTTATCTTCAAAGACTCTGGTTATATTGGAATAAATCTGTAAATTCAAATCTATCTTATTTCATCGCACTGAAGGTCGTTGGTTCTGTTCTGGTTAACTAATATAATGTTTGGAACTGCAGTTGAGCTCTTCCGCAACCAGTCAGGTTGGAAAGTTGCCGTATGACATAAACAGTGTCGATGTCATTTTAAAAATTTCTTCTTTTTTTCTGCAGGGAAGCCTCAAAGTGCAGAAAAGCATGCATATTTCTGTCTTGCTTTATGCAAATTATTGTATGTAATGGTGTCGGATATGGACTGAGTGTGATGTACGCCGAACTTGTAGTTGTGTTTGACTCTAGCAGAGGTGAAGCTGTCTTGCTGCAAAGCCTCTTTATGGGCTTTTCGTCAGCCAGTGGTAGGTTTGAAGCGGTTAAATTGGGGGGGAAAAACTATGTAGGTTAAGTAATTACCATCGCATAAAATATATAACTTAAGAAGATTCAGGTTGCAGAGAAAAACATGCTGAGCTTGATGTTATTGGTACAAATTAATGTTTTGTGGACAGGGCATAACATTTAATAAATTTTTTTCATGCATTAGTTTAACAAAGGTTAATGCCTCTGCCAAAAATAGAGCAAACAAATACTTTTAGTATAAGATTTAAGTGAATGTAGAAATTGTACATTCTTGCATACGGGAAACGTCTTTTTATTTTGATAGACTGTGAAGCTTGCGTTCATTTCCTGCTTATAGATGGATAAAGGTCAAAGTATCTTACGTTGCATACAAGACATTTCCGTACACTTCTTAAAAGTAATGATTATTAATTATTAATAAGAAGCAGAAATCTCAATTCCTAGCATATGCTTAAAAAATGAAAATTAACCTTTTGATCAAGTTAACATTAAAATATAAAATGAAACATTTCAGGTATACTTTTCACTGGGTTGATACACAGGTTCGGGCCTGGAGTTTGTATAATGTTTGGCGGTTTAATGGGCTGTGTTGGCTTGTTTGTCAGCGCTTTTACTGGTGAACTCAGTCTGATTATCATTTGTACTGGAGTAGTGGCAGGTATTATAAACTTCAATGATACGTGTTTATATTACTGATATATGTTATGTTTTTACTACGACTTATAAGTAATTTTTTGAAAAGTAAAGCATTCATTACATAAGTATGTGTATTTTCATGCATTTGCAATCTAGTCATTTTAAAGTATTTTTTATCCTAAGCAATACTAGTAATATATTTGTTTATTACATACCATGCAAAATTTGTGGTATTGCATTGCTGTGTTCATGTATATATTTTGACATGACGTCATTTGCATTAAACAAACATTAACGTAGAGAGCGCATCAATGAAAATTCTTCAATTGTCCTTTAAACAGTCTTTATTTTGGTTTTGTGATCAGTAGAATATTATATTTGTGTAGGTTCATTGAACTTATTGAACTCATTCAATACAATATTTTGCTTGCCAGAGGCTCGCTAATTATTATATTATTTCAAGTTTTTCAATTGATTCAGTATTGAACCTGTACTCATTCAATATCCTCTACGTAAGAAATGTATCCTAAATTTCTATAATCGACAGCATTGCCCATCGTTGGGGGCTGGGGGCTTAAAAAGTCTTAACTGAGAACCCGTCGGTTTAAAGTTTAAATGGCTTGACATTATTCTGGTACATAGGCATGTCACTATTGCCACCTCTGTCTTTCCGCACCCCTGCCCTACCCCTTCAAACTGTAAAACATTTGTAATAATCTGAAAAATGCAGATCCCTCCAGAGCAAATTAAAAGGAATAGAAACAAAACATATCTGAAAGACTCGGATTCATGGATACTGTTTATGGGGAAATATTTGGCATTGCAATGCCACTTACGAGTATGCACCCCAGCACCGGATAAATCTTCAGCACAAGACAAAATTTGAAACATTTGTCGAGTAACAGCAGAAAAAAGTCAACCATACCTGTATGCTCATTGTTCTGTTTACTTACATATATATTTTTATTCCAGGTACAGCTTTCGGTGTTTGCCTGTTGGCTGCGTTCGTCACAGTCGGTTGGACATTTTCGGGTTCAACAAGCTTTTTCCTTATTTGTTTAATGGCCGGTATAAGTGTTGGCCAGTTCACTTACCCTCTTCTGTTCGAGACTTTTATTTCACAATATACGTGGTCGGGTACTTTCGTCCTTATTGCGGGTGTTTCAATGCAGTGTATCCCTTGCGGACTAATTGTATATTTTTCTGGTGAATATTTATCAAAGGGGACAGAAAAATCTGAAACAAAACGGAATTTGTATTGTGATGTGACAATGTTAAAGGACCTTGTGATGTGGATATTTTTGGTGAATTTTGTACTAATTTCCATGTCAGGTATAACAACCTTTGTTATATCTAAAATGATTTAAATATAATATGCATTAATTTGCTTTACTCACCTGTATAGAGCAGCGCTATCCAGCTCATTTGCGCAACATGCTCCAGTTTAATACTCCTTGCTACCTTTCATAATTTTATAGTTTGATTTTTCTTAAACCCTAACCCGCTAAAACTATGCTGTTTATTAGCCTTTCCGTTCTTTGAAATAAAAAAAAGTTAAAAGAATTAAGGGATATTAATATCAAAATACAAAAATAGAGCTATCAACAATTGTACATGTTGGCCTTTCTCTATTTTGGTGGCAGAAGCTAATCACTTTTGGTTCCTTATATTAAGATATTAGTATAAAATGACGGCAAGACACGTGTTCAACAGGTTTAGGTTACGAAAACTCCCGACTAATACCTTTGAAACTGTTATAATTCTTTACCAGAATAATTTTAATATATTAATAAGGAAAAGCCCCAAAGCGAGCTCTTTGACAGAAATTATAGAACATTTTAGTTTAAACCTATCGGCGGTTACACATTTCATGTTTTCAAAACACTTTGAACTGCTTACTTTCGGCGGAACAATAACATATACGGCCATTTCATCAATTCATGTTCTATATGATTTCCGTTTCAAAAGTGACATCCAGTATTAATATACTGATTCCGTATATTCTGGTTCCCTGTCTTATTATGGTTTCAATTGAAGTGCACAGGAGACCAGTCTACGCATCCGTTTTCAATCATTATTCCTAGCCTTTTATCTTTCTTTTGTAATTTGAAGAAAAGTTACGATTAATCAATTACCCATAATTTTGTAGTACTTCCGGCGAAAGTTATCAAATCCATTATAGCTATTTGGCAATGTACTCGCTTGCTATTTTTTATTCAATCTGACAGACCAAGCAATTTAGAAAAATAATCTGTTGACTTTGCTTTACCGTCCAATTAACTTAACTGTACAGTGCTATAATGCACTGAACTATACTGAATTAAAATTAAAAGTTACTTATAATTACATTGTATATGCTTTCCTGTGAAGACTGGTTTTATTAAATGCATTATCCAATCTTACAGTTAATGTTGAGGCGTGGTTTATTGTGGATCATATGGTGACACGAGGCTTTAAGCGAGAGGTTGGCTCGGTCCTTGTCTCTATGATCGGCATTGGAACTTTTATTGGACGAATTTGTGGGGCTCTACTCCGGCTCAAATGCAAGTATGTCTTCGATGTAATATTTTAGCAGGGTCTTGATGGCCAAAAGTTTGAGGTTACGAACTACAAATTACTTGCTTCACATCTCTGTAGGGTCAAATCCATTCAGGGCTTTTTTGTATTCTTTTATGTTAAGGTAGACATCCAGATGGTTTACCGAAGGATGGCAGATCTACTAAGTTCCCTCTAATACCTGAAATAATACATGAAAGATCACCTGAGATCTACCCCTCCAGTAAAGTATAGGAAGTCGCCATATAGCTTTAACAGTGTCAATGCGATTTTAACCCAAGAAAAAAGTATTTGAGGTCATCCAAACCAACCGGGTAGGCGCTTTAAAAAAAAAACGAAGCGTTGTTCTTGTCATATTGTGTTGAAAGTCTGCATAATCTCGTTCAACAATATGTTTTCTATTATCTATCCTGCCTTAACATTCATATTAATGTACATTCGGAACACGTCGCCGATTACCTATACTTTACAGTCCTTATCCCAAGATTGGCGGATATGTTCGAAAAGGTGCGATTGAGAAATGTGCATGTTTTCAATGGATGGGAAAAGTAAGCACAAAAGACGATAACTATGGCGCAAAACTTAACACAAACTGTTAAATCATTATCGTCTTCATTTTCTTCAGTAATTCAAAGCACTGTTCAAACATAATCATTTTCATCTTGTTCAGTTATAGTTAAGATTATGAAAATATATAATTATATATATTATATAATTCTGAAAATAGTTATGAAAAACGACATGGACATGTTTCCAAATGTAATAAACAGCAGATTTGTTTTGGACTATGTAATATTTCATTAAAATATTTGCAGATTTTCGACCTCATCCAATTGTTTTTAATGCAATATATATGCAATGAAATTTTTAACACAAGCATATTGATGTTTAATTTCAGCTTCACACATTCATGTTCAGATATGCGTTCATAGAATGCCACCATTTCTTGGTGATTTTTCTTTTGATATATTATAGGTTAATTAGTAGTTCATACATGATGCACAGTGTATTACATTACAGGTGCCCAACTATTTATCATTGGACGTATTTTAACGTGATAATAGCCGTTATACATGTGATTATCTTAAACTTGAACGACTTCCGATCGCTAGTTGTCGCGTGTATTGTGTATGGAATGACGTATGCAACGTGTACATCCCAGATTCCAGGAATAATGTTCGAGTCCGTTGGTCCGGAGAGATACCCTCAGGCTATGGCAATGGCAAACGTTATGTTAGGACTTGGAGATATGCTAGGCGCAATATACGGCGGTAAGTTTTGTGGGCTATTTGATCCGATCTTTGTACTGGGCATTTACCTTCCTGTTCCTGGTACTTGTCGGAGAGGTTTACCCCACGGACGTTTCTTTTTAGGTTAAAATATAATATTCTTTATATATATATATATATATATATATATATATATTAATATATATATATATTATATAAGATAATATTCTTGTTATCTCTTCTTCTCTAATGAAACTAATTGATTCATTTATAACATTATCTCGTTGTCTAACTGCAATGGATATGTCTCTCTACGTATAGGTTAGAGTGCATATTGGGTGTTCTTCGTAAATAAGAAAGCTAAAAAGGAGCGGAGCTTGCGAAGCGACTGTAGCTTTCTTATTTACGAAGAACATCCAATATGCACTCTAACCGGCTTAGTGCTCCGCCCATTTTTTTCCGCCCAACACACTGCGTGACGTCACACGATAGCCTAAATGTGTATAACCATATTTGGAAGAGGTAGCGGTACACATTTTTGGGTCACGTGTTTTGCATAGCTTATTCCCGCCTTCTGTCTTGGTAAATCAGACAATATCACGGTGCATATCCATATCGGTACCCTCTTTGCGAAATATTCTCCAACGGTACCCTCTTTGAACATACACAGGTCATTCTCTGCTAGAAACAAACCAGCGATGGAGTATGCAGTAAAAACAATGCAGTAAAAATTCATTGTAATAAGGAAAGGAGGTATGACACGTAGAAAAGATGTATACCACGGAACACGTACTTATGTGCTGATTTGTCATTTTTATGTGCTGATTTGTCATGTGCCCGATTTTCATGTACTGCAACTTCACAATAAGCTACAAAAAGTCGACATGTCTTGCCTCGCCCGTCACCTCGACATATGTTTCGGGCTGAAATGAATCTGTAGCTTGATTATATATGCATCATACATATTTATTATGTTCATATACATATCATCTTCGGACAAATGGTAGTATATTGTCAAAAATAAATGTAAAATTAATAAAAACACCCTACTTTCGGTTTTGCAGCGGCACGGGCTGTAATATTTACATAAAAATTAAGAAATATTACATACATAGTTTGTTGGAATAAGTGAACTTTTTATTTGGAAATTATAAAATGATACTGGTTACGTAAGTAATAAAACATTTTTACGGTTATTTGGCCTGTTTTCATTTCAATGAACCTCTTTCTTTAATTCTATGCCGTAGTGACGATATACATGTGCGTGTACGGAAAAAACATTATGCATAAATATTGATTAGTAGGAGTAAACTTCAAGATCTCTGCACATGCGTATATTTCACTTTAGCGCTCTTCGAAACTTAGCTCCGCCCACTTGCGTTTTATAATATAAAACGTCCAGTTTATATAAAATCTGTTCTATTAAGATTTGAAACCTGAAAATTTGAAAAATCCTCGTCGATAATTGGCTTAAAAAAATTGGCGAGCACTAACTTATATGTGTAGCCTTATAATTATATACACGTTTCTTTATAAAATCCATATAATTAAATCTGGACACGTTGATATAATTAATAAGAGATCTTTGTAAAATATGTACAATTTGACTAATGAAATACCAGTAAAGGAGTGTCTTTTTGTCACAATATCTAGCAATTTTAAATCTTATGTTCTGCTGTTTACAGGGTTTATATATGACATTTTTGGCGTGTACAATGTCGCATTCTACACAGCGGCGGTTATGGGCATGTACATTAGTGTGACGACGACGTTTGCAGCTGTGTTGGTCAAGAGACGTAACAGACGTGAAGTTGACATAGACACAAAAGCTGAAATACGTAGACATTAAATGATTTGAGAATAGCCGGTATGGTTGAACGTTTAAACATTTAGAACATTTTAGATGGTATATAGTGTAACACTGGTGGACTGGTGAAGGGGAAAATATTGGAAAAACATTTAATGTTTGCATTGGAAATAACATATCAAGGCGATAATTGATTGAATCCTATCATTAATATCTGTAGCATTGACAAATAATCTGCAATGCCTCACATGCATTTGGAATTATTCAATGGGTATTCAACAATAAGGACCATTGCTTAAAAGTGATATTACCCGCATATAATATCGTATAGCAACGATTCATATCACTCGTTATTATATCTACATTATAACGACTATCTTAACTTAAGTGATATTTTGCACTACATTAGTGGTTATGCGCCTCATTGTACAAACGATTATTTTATAATATGCGGCGATTTTAATAATTCTATTGACGATTCACATTACTTATAAGTCACGATTCTATTGATAATGGTTCGCCAAATATCAGAGACAATTGGCCCAACTGCGATGATATTCATGTTTTGTAATGTTTGAGTTATGTTTAACTTATATGAATAATTTAGTAGATCTATGAACCTTACCTAAACGTTAAAGAAACTGGTCATTTGGGTATTTTTTTTAATTGGGCGAAATGTTATATTAACGATTTAACATGACAACATTTACATAATTCAGAAAATACAAGTCACACAAAGTTTTTAAAAACAATCAGATGTAATAAGTCTATATGACGTCATGTATTGAAATCGTTATATAAGAAATTCATCATTTTTTTAAAAATAAAATTAAGCTTAATTTTCTTGAAATTTAAACTGAAAGTATTTGTATTTCAAAGAGGAGGTACAAAGCACAATTATGTTAGGAAAAATATTAATACAACTAACAAATCGTTCTAATAAAAGTATTTTCAATTTAACTGGTTCTTATTTTGTTGTGATAACTAGTAGATCAGTAAATATTACAGACTTCATTGGAAAATATCCTTAAGACAAGTTTCGTAAAGCATATTTTAAAGTGAGGGTGTTTCCAACTGTAACATCAAACGTTAGTTGAGAAAATACTGTCTTCTTTTTAAAAGGGGTCAATCAGCCCGTTAAGGTATCACAGAAGCTTTCGCTATCAGAACAGAGCCCGGACATGTCACCAGTCATTTCTTTAAATGGATTAATTTTGAAGCGCAAAAGTGATCATAATTTACCTCCGTGTATTAATTAGACTTTCAAGCCGGAAGTATATCACAGTACAGTTGACAAAGAACAGTTATTCGCACAGTGTCATGTGACAATAATGAATCAGATAGCCATAATAAGGAATGTTGGTGCCAAGCAAAGTTCATACATTTTGAAGCTGTCATCGCGTACATGTACTAGGGTCTATCACACACCCAAGTTTTGACCGTTCCAAGTCTTCCCTGCCTACTCTTTAGGGTCACACCCATCGGCTTCAGTCAAGATATCTATAGAATGAGGGATAGACTTAACTCTTAATTGATAATGACTAATAGTGTGACATCTAGGATATGACCTCCATGTACAAAAGCAAAACTAGGATTTTAACCAGTCAGCAGTGTCCTTGGTCAAAGACAAAATCTGTCGGTGCCCACAGCGCTTCAACGACGTGCACGTACCGAGGGAATGAAAGAGAATGAGAAAATACTAATATTGCGGCTGAAATACGTACATGCAGTCGGATCTTGTCGTCATATTCATTTAGAATTAGAATGAAGACCTCGAACACAATTGTATGAACAGATACGGTTTTCGGTCTTATCTGAGCTTAAATAATTAATTATTAAGCTTTTAATCAAAATTACAACTTGTACACCGGCCTGCACACGACATTCCGGACTTGGCTATAATCGTTTGAAGTTGAGCATTCTTTTATTTACTGGTTACATAATTTTACGGAAATTTATTTTATTTTCTGTTGGATGTAAAATAAGCACATTCCATTTTTATACTACAAATATAACAACTTGGGGTTCTGTTTACATCTGAACTCACGTGGTAGAACTACTTTCGATCCGAATTAATATTGAATTCATTATGAATCCGCGAGGTATTCAAATTAGAATTGTATGCTGATCCCTACTGTGTGGATTAGATGAAGTCGAAATGAGATGATATTGCATTCAGTTAACATTAAACAGAGTGCAGAATTTAACTCAATCATAATGCAAATTATTTTGTCTGTGAGCAAGATGGGATTTATTCTGGTCCATAGTACTTTAAAGTTTAATATAGATTGAATATATGTTTTTGCAATAATGAAGTGCCCAGAAAGGCTCCGATGTTTATCGTACCGGACTCTTTATATGGGTCCGTTTTATGGTCCGTTTTACTTAAACATTTATATATACGGTTTTAACATTCTCAATCTTACATTATCTACCGGTTTAACCTATCGCTCTATCAGTAGTGTTAAATTCATGCTTATGAATAAAGATGCATGATATTTATATTTTATTCACGAATGGCTATCAAGGTCCCATTCACCATTTTAAAAAAGAAAAATAGATCTTATGCAATAAACGTCGTTGTTCTGTTGTTCATGATGATATGCATGCAATAAATAATCTAAAACTGTTATTGATGTGTTATTAACATGTCGGTGCCGTACACAAAATTATTTTAACTGATCTTTTAATCAGTATAAAACTTTAAAACTCGTGATTTAAATAAAGAATAACGGAATACCCGATTTATCTGCGTCAAAATAAGAATTTCCCATAGTATGTAAAAGAGGCTTGCGCGATGCTGGGCAATCTGTATATACCGGTATTTCGTTCGACTGTACGTGACTGCATGCTGCGTGACAGGGGTCTATACTGTCGTCAGATTAGAACTTTACCTATAACCTATACACTGGTTTACGTTGTCCTGGCATATTAAGTAGCGTTTAGTTCAAGGTAAGTCTATACATATAGAAGCTAATACACGAGACATATAAAGAATGGATACAAAACATATACTCTCAGAGGAGACGCTTTTGTTAGGCAATGATATTCCGGTTGATAGTGTAAAACGGTAAGCTTGTAACTTAGATAAAATCTATTTTAATGATATTATTCTTTACATACCTTGATACAAAAGTTATAATAATAAAATAATAATTATCATTATTATCATTATTATCATTATTATGTTTATTATAAGACTCTGCGTTTTGTTGTTTTATGTTATTTAAGCGTACAATGATTTGTTATAAAATGTATATGTAACCATATAAATAAGCCTAAGTCTGCTGGAAACGAATGTGACTAGTATACAACTAGGCCATTCCTTCATGTGTGTGCAATCTCACTAGGCTGTTCACTTATTTGCATTATCTACCTGTACTTGAAATTTAATTTCATTTTTTTCCTTTCATTTTACTTTCTGTAGGACAGTAAAATGAATCTAGTTTATATAACAAAAATGTGTAATTCACCACAAAAACTCGTTACTTTTAGGACTCGGAGGTAGGTTGTTCTATTCCAGTGTGCTTGAGATAAATCAATAAATTCAGATTAAACACTATATTTTCATCAAACGACAGATCGGTGGTTCTGTTCTGCTGTAATACTTTAATCTTCCTCAACCAGTCGGGTTGGAAAGTCACCATATGACATTAATTAACATGTCGATGTCATTTTAAAAATTTCTTCTTTTTTTTCTGCAGGGAAGCCTCAAAGTGCAGAAAAGCATGTATATTTCTGTCTTGCTTTATGCAAATTATTGTATGTAATGGTGTCGGATATGGACTCAGTGTGATGTACGCCGAACTTGTTGTTGTGTTTGACTCTAGCAGAGGTGAAGCTGTCTTGCTGCAAAGCCTCTTTATGGGGTTTGCGTCAGCCAGTGGTAGGTCTAAACCCGTTAAATTGGGTAAAGGATGCATGGGTCAATTAATGGCCCAGTTAAGTATATCACTATTAGGATTGTTCACAGAGCATAGAATTTTGTTACAAAAAATAAGCGTGTTATTCAAAAACATTTGGATGTTTCGTGATTTCTTTAAAAGCACGATTCTTTAAAGATGTAAAATTTAGGGACATACACTTCTTATATTTATGGTATCGTCATTAAGTAATATTAACTTTTCACGTACCATCACATTTATTGCGCATGTGTGTTTAATTTGCGTTCTATTTGACTTCCTCTAAACTGATATTTGTTCATATAGGTTCACGCCCAGGGGTGTTATTTACTTGATAAAGACTGATATAGGAAAACATACTTTAATTTGATTGTGTGAAACTGCAATGTCCAGAACTTTGTCCAGAACTTTGTTCTTTGGTATAACCTTGTCATAGAGCATTGGTCTGTAGCCTATACAAAACTGATAATTTTCATTGCGTCGTATACCGTCGTACCTTTCTGGTGTTTTTGTTTACCTGCGCTTTGCAGTCTTGCAAATTGAGAAAATATCTCATTTTAGTGAGATATTTCTGTAATAATTACATCAAACAAATATTCTCTATAGATCAATTAACCAGATGTATACTGAATGTTTTCAGGGATACTGTTTACTGGTTTAATACACAGGTTCGGGCCCGGAGCTTGCATTATCTTGGGCGGTCTTACGGGCTGTGCTGGTTTGTTTGTCAGTGCTTTTACTGGTGAACTCAGCCTTATTATCATTTGTACTGGAGTTGTAGCAGGTATTGTAAACTTTAGGAATACACAAACTTTTTTATATAACCGATGTTGTTTTGTGTTGAATTCTGTTTCAGCCGATTATATGGGGGAGAGGGGGGGGGGGGTAACTTACATTTTCCAGTACCGACCATGAACAGAATCAATCAAACTGAGACGGCAACGTTTTCAATTTTGTCCTTTTGGACGTTCTTTAAGGATTCTATTTTTCTGTAATTTACTACGAGTTATAAGTTATTTATTGACAGAGAATTACGTTTATTAACTGAGTGTGCGCGTGTTTAGTTATTCTTAAAGAATTTTCTTATCCCGAACAATGATAAATTAATTCAAAAATACATTTTGTTCATTTGTGGAAATATTTTAAAACAATCTGGAAAAAGATCCCTCGATAGCATTGAAAACAAATAAAAAAAAACAATAAAAACATCTTAGATTCGGTTTCATGGATTCTGTTAAAGATCATGTAACTCCGTTTTTTTATGGTTTTATTTTCATCTTATTTTGTTGTGATTAATGCTTCCGAGGGATCACTTTGGTTTCAGATCTTTATATCATATATTTGATCAAGTTTTGCTTAAATAAGATCTTAAAAGATTTATCAATGTTATAAGTTCTAAAAAGCATTATTTGTAGATATATTCCATTTAAATAAAGGGAGATAATTAGAACTTTAGTTTCGATAAAGTCTAAACCAAACTTTTCAGTAAGAAATGAATGCATATATTTTAATGATTACTTATACTGCGTGTAAATATTTGCGGTACTCATTTAACATATTCTTGGATGTTTTGAAATTATTTTAGAGTAATGATTATTTACATAATTATATAAAATTTTGCTTAAAGATCCTGTATGTTATAATTAAGGTTGTATACCAGAGTTAAGTGAAATTATATATACTTATAAAACAACTTTCATACATCAAAGAATATGTGAAATATGTACTGCAAATATTTGTGCACATTACATGTAATCATTAAATTATATACATTCATTTCTTATTGAAAAATTTGACTTAGACTTTATAGAAAATAAATTTCTAATTACCTACCTTTATTTACATGAAATGTTTAATTCGGTAATATCTTTAATGAATAAATATATGCTTTTTGGAACTTACAATTTTGATAAATCTTAATTTGAGCATCATATTTATGATATAAAACCATAAATAAATTGTGTAACAGGATCATTAAGTGTTGGTCTCTTCACGGTTGCGAGGATACACAAACCTAAACACACACACTGTTAAAACCTTAATTTCGACATACGGTATCTTTAATCAATACAATGCCACTTATGCACCCCATACAACCAGATAATTCCACATACAAGACGAATTTGCAACAATAATTATATTAATTACAAACATATCTAGCAATTACATCACTAATGTAATGTCAATCATACCTGTATGCTCGTAGTTCCGTTTTCTCGAAATTATATAATTCTTTATTCCAGGTACTGCTTTCAGTATTTGCCAGTTGGCTGCGTTCGTAACAGTCGGTTGGACATTTTCGGGTTCAACAAGCTTTTTCCTTATTTGTTTAATGGCCGGTATAAGTGTAGGCCAGCTTATTTACCCTCTTCTGTTCGAGACTTTCATTTCACAATATACGTGGTCAGGTGCTTTCGTCCTTGTTGCGGGGGTTTCAATGCAAACTATCCCTTGCGGACTTATTGTATATTTTTCCGGTGAATATTTGTCAAAGGGAACGGAGCAATCTCAAGGAAAAGGCCATTCGTATTGTGATGTGACAATGTTGAAGGACCTTGTTATGTGGATATTTTGGGTGAATTTTATACTCATCGCCATGGCAGGTATTTTATATTTTTGAAATTATTTTCTGAAATGTATTGCCCTTTATTGCATTGTACTTTACGGTACTGAACAACATAATAATGCACTTACTGCACTTTACTAATCGTTACGGTATTGTACTACTACTCTGCACTGCATTGCTCTGTACTGTATTGCACTGTTCTTAAAAAAATACTTAATTATTTTTTGGTTTTATAATTGCATTATATCAATCTTACAGTAGATGTTGAGGCGTGGTTTATTGTTGACCACATGGTGACACGTGGCTTTACACGTGAGGTTGGATCTATTCTTGTTTCTATGATCGGAATTGGTAGTTTTATGGGACGGCTATGTGGGGCTCTACTCCGACTCAAATGCAAGTATGTCTCTTAAATAGTACTTTAGGTGATGGTTGGGGAGTTTGTGCTCCATCCGAGCGATTAAGGTTGTTTACTTCAGATCATTTGCCTTTCATCGCTGTAGGTTATTGACGTTTGATTCGTTCATTAAATAAAGCCATCCATCGGGCTAGATTGCGGAAGGCCAGTGGTTTTACTCTGGTACCCGCTTTTGTTTAATATAATGCGCGTAGGGTCACCTTAGGTAATCTGCAGTCTGTAAAATCGCCATAAAACCTTTAAAGCGTCAATACGACATTTGTGAGATGATAAGCTTTCCGGTCAATATAAAGGCACATGGTTTAAGTCGTATTGTATTAAAGGTTTCACTCCAAAAGATGTTATTTCTGTTATCTCCCGACAATGCAACAGTGCAAACCTTTGCAAAGGTTTACCTGTAACCACAATATCATTTACCTTGTATTTAAGAAGTGAAAAAGATTAATCTTCCAGTATGATCACTAAATGAGCGTAATGATTTCTTTCAAAGTTTTGGGGAAAAAAAAGAATTTACTAGGGGTTAATTACATATTTAAGATATAGTTGTTTTTATGCAATATACGTAAAACTAGCATATTATTGATGTTTCGTTTCAGTTTGCAAGTGCAACTTTGTATAGGTTAAGATGCTCATAAATGCTGCAAAAGAATCTTACTTTACAGGTACCCGTCTTTTTATCACTGGACCTATTTTTACTTGATAATAGCCGTTATGCATGTGATAATATTGAACTTAAACGACTTCCGGTCGCTGGTTGCCGCGTGTATTGTGTATGGAATGACGTTTGCAACGGCTACTTCCCAGATTCCAGGAATAATGTTCGAGGCCGTTGGTCCGGAGAGATACCCTCAGGCTATGGCGATAGCAAACGTAGTGTTAGGACTTGGTGATATGTTGGGCGCATTATACGGCGGTAAGCTTTAGGTGTTGTTTTTTTTTTTCGGTCGTGAGCTGTTTGATTTCATCCTGACTTCCGGTATGTATACGGGATATCTGCCATCCCTTTCCCGGTTCTTGTCGGACAGGTACCAAAAATGGTTTAACATCGTTTACTACGGCGGTTTATTATTGCTAAGCTCATTCTTGTTTCTCCTTCTTTACATATGAAATTAATTGATTTGTTTTAATTTTGATCTTTTTTCCCTTTCATGTTTCACTTTATAAAATGATAATCTCTTTGATATAAATGTTTTGACGTCTTTAACAAAATGCAGCGGTGGATACACTAGAGATAAAAAATAGAATTAAAAAGCAGCAAATGAGCATTCTGTTTTCTTTAGAGTGAAATATTAAATATGCTTTGTCATTAAGCTTTCATATAAAATTCCACATAATTATGCCCCCATCTTCGAAGAAGAGGGCGCATATTGGTTTCCACCATAATGTTTGTCCGTCTACCGGTCCGTCCAACACTTTTTCCGATCAATAACTTCAAAACGCATGGGCCAACCACACGAAAACTTCATAATTTCATTGATCTTGGAGAATAGATGACCGCTATTGATATTGGGGTCAAAGTCTCAAAGGTCACATTTTGCCTTTTTGCGATTTTGAGGTCGCAGTGACTAAGTTAAATGTCACATTGGCCTTGTATTTCGAAACGGTTTCCGACCGATAACTTTACCATGGCCTCTCAAACTTCATTAGAGCATTTTTTTGGCAATCAAGGACTCAAAGGTCAATGTCACATTTTCCTTGTATGCCAAAACGGTTTCTGACAAATATATAGACAACTTTTTGGCCCTTAATTTATACAAATTTATTAAAGTTCGATTATCTTGGAAGCTACAAAACAAAAACGTGTTGTCGGATGAATAGGTATATTCAATAGGCTCAAGGAAAGAACGGCTTGCTTCCGAAAGGGTTTGAACCCATGCAGTCAGCAATCCTTAGATTGCTCGTCCGATGCGTTGACCACTCGGCCACGCCGCCACCTCAAACCCTCACCATTGACCCTCAAACTTCATAGATTAGCCGTTTTGCTTTTTGAGACGCAAATTAACCTTGACTGTCATGTACATCATTATTTGAAGATAAATAAAATACAAGTAAGACTGAGTTTTCGTCACAAAATAAAAACGTGTTGTCAAATGAATAAGTATAGACTTTTTACGACGCGGTCCGTTGCTATGAAAAATTGACCGGAAGTAGTATTTGCTCGCGCATGCGCCATCTGTGTAGGGCAAAAATAGCATAGCCCTACATATAAATGTAATAGAAGTTCATAGACATTCCGAGTTAGTTTAAGGTAAAAATTAGAAAATCATATAAAATAGCTTTTAATTGAAACACAAAAGATACTTTTATAGCTCTGTGGCCAAGATTGTCATAAAATGACATGGAAAAGAAGATTATTTAAGAATTCCCCCTTACGATCACGGACCTGAAATTGAGATAACTATTGTAAAAAAATGTAGATATATATAAAAGCTAGATAAATTTTATAACATATAAAAACGAGGTTAATTTTCATTCTGAAAATAAGTCGGAACACGTGATAATGCATTTTTAATTTTCAGTTTACCTAATTTTATCCTTTATCCGATTTTACTGTGATGTTAAACAGAAATTTTTTGAGTCACATAAATATATTTAAATAATTTTTCAAACTCTTGAGAAGTTAAGATGGGTGGTGAAATAACACACATACAGACGAAACTTATTTCATAAGGCGGCAGCCGTCGATCCACAATTTTATAACAAGTCAGATAATGATAAACTTGTGTTTCTTTTTACAAATACCTCCTTAATTAGAATATGTGCCAAAACCTGTTTTGATATTCTTAATAGACGTAAATCTTATCTTTGTAAATAATATTATGGTAGATTATTATTATAATTTTTATTTTATTTTTTTTTATTTATTTATTTATTTTTTAATGACATAAGTGCTCCTCTTTTTAACTACAAAGTCGTAATGTTTTATTCTTACTTATTCTAACATAGAGCATAGTTTTATCATGTAAATAGTCATAATTATAAAATGCTATCTATATATTTATGTGTTTTATACATTTGTAGTCTCCTGTAATTCTGTATAGAATGGTTATGATATATTTAATGTTGTATTATATTGTACCATGTATATAGATGAGACTTTAATAAATAAATAAATAAATAAATACATTTTATCCGGTTCCTCGTACATGTAACACGTGACAAAGCGTATACTAATTGTCACTTCACAAACTTGATAAACATTGATGTGATTGGTATAAATAAAAGTAACTTAAATAACGATTTTTATAATTTTAAGTGATTAACTATGTCATGGTACTAAAACGTCCCGGTTGAATGATATTGTAGACTAGCTGACAAATAACAACCGGTCACGTGTCAATTCGTTTGACACTTACTGTCTTGCCGATCCACTTTCAAAGGAATACCAATTGTGTAATATTATGTAATACATCGGTAATAAACTTTATCTTTAACACCCTGCTGTTTCAGTTTAAATTACTGATGAAAAGGTCATTAAATGATACCTTGAACAGCCCTAGAGGACTTTTGGTCTTTGAATTTTTAGTCCCGCTAGTTTTGTATATCTATTATAAATAACAATTCACGTTTTAAGTACGAACCGCTTTAACTCATCCCAATTTTTTTGTTTTCTTGGTGTCATAACGTATAATCACGTCTTTTAAAGCCTTCAACTACGCTAAATGTATTATATCTTTATTGCGCTTTTGCCCTACGCAGAATGCGCATGCGCAAAATGAAACATCGGTTGCTATGGAAAAATCGTACTGTAAAAAGGTTTATAATAGCAAGTCCAAAAAAAATTTAATGGCAGGGATTTCAAAAAATTCAAAAGTAATAAAAATCAAAAAAATTGTTTTAACCATTTTAAAAGAGTCTTGTACAAACTGCGCAGACTTTTCAAATAACCCCACCTTTTAATTCTTTCCTAGACAAAAATGTTTGTCCCAGAAAATTAAAAGGCCTGGAATGCTTTTTAAAAATTTGAAAAACTTGTTTTACAACAATTTATTTCTTTATTGCTTTATCCCTTTAAACCAATTAATAAAAGTTGTATAAAAGGGTTGTAAAACGAAACAAGGTCTTTTAAATAGTTTTTTACTTTTTTTAGGGTTTTTTTCGATATTTTTGGGCCCGTGTACGACTTTTCCCTTCTAAAACCGGGGCGGTTTTGGGCTTTGTACATTAGTTGACGCCCGACTTTTCGGCTGTTTTGGGTAAAAGAGACGAAAAAAAATGATGCTGAAACAAAGTAAAATACAAGGGGAAATAAAAATTTTTTAGGTTTTTTTTTTTTGGAAACGCTTTAACTTCAGTAACAATTCCTGCTATAACAATAAACTGATGTAACACTGGTTAACGTGAATGAACAAATATTTTAATTAAGTATCTTGTGTTCTGATGCATTACAAACTACGTATTACATTAATAATTTATTTAAATTCTGGCATAAAAAGTAAACAGATATTGTTCAAACAATAAAAAATAGATATCTATTGCATCACAGAGGTTTGTGGATTTATTCATAGAGTATTCAGTTTTATATAGCATTTAGTATCAATAATATATCGCACGTACAAACGATCTGCCCAACACGCCCCAAAATGACTATTTCAACTCAAGTGACCTTTGGTCATAAGTGACCACATCCTCACTCTCAAAACGCTTTGCTTCTCACATGTAATTTGCCTTACTTTACAGACTATTGACCGATTTTTTTTTCACAGGGGAGACAAATTAAGGCCCCCTCTTTAAAAGCAAAATTTCCTAAATTTAAATGAAATTTATTCCCTCACTTTTCAAATTTGCCAAACTCTATGCCCAAATTTGCCCTGGGCTTTTGTGACGATTTCCCTTTAATTTTTGGGTAAACGACTCCAGATTTTATTACGTTTTTCCTTTTACTTTGATCAAAGGGTTTAAAATCATTAATATTAATGTTATATAAATGTATTTAATGAATTTTTTTTAAATGATTTTTTATTTTTTAAAAATCCCATCTACTAGTTTTTAAAAGAGAAAATAAAAAATAACAAACGGGCAAAAGGTTTAAAATTTGGGGTAAGGGCCCCCAAAAATAAACATTATTTAAATTTTCATAGTACAAACAAAAAAATTTAAAAAAATATTGCAAAAAAACTGACTTTCATTTTAAAACATTCCCGTTTTGACACATATTTTTTAACTAATAATAAAAAATTTTGTAAAATTAAAAAGAGTATCAAAAATTCTTAAAATTTCATCCGAGAGTTTTTTTTAATTTTTAAAAATTTAAAAAAAAAAAAAAAAAAGAAAAAAAAAAAATGAAATTTTTTCTCGGAAAAAAAAGAGAAAGAATTTAAAAACAAAAATTTTATTTTTTTAAATTTATCTTAAATATGATTTTTTTTTTTTTTTTAAAAACTAGTACCCTTTAAGAAAAACATGGGTTTGTTCCTCGTGTGAAAAAAAATAAACTCGCCAGAAAAACTTTCTCAAACTGAATTAAATTCCCATATCTTTGGCATTATCCGTTAATTATACTAAAAAACCCGATATATTTATTACAACTTTAGCTCGTTATTTGGTTTATAAAGGAAAAATGAAAATTTGGGAAATAAAGCTGAAATTTTACAATCCCAAATGAATGGGAAAGAAATAAATCAAAATATTTTAATGGTATTTTAAAACTTTGTAACAAAAAATGAATTTTTCTATGAACAGGCAATTCACCCCCAACTTCAAATTTTTTCAAAAAAAAGGGATTTTAAAACACTAATTTTAAAGACCCCCCTTCGGAAAAAAAAATTTTAAAATTTAAAAACCCCCTCAAAAAATAATCGTACATGTTAAAATGACAATTTATTAACAATTTGTTCAAATTGTATTAACACATCCCTGATTTTCTCAGGGGTTTTTACCAAAATTAAAAATCATCCCCCCCCCCCCCAAACACAACCCCACACACTTC